TTGGCCACTTTAAGCCTGGAGGACTTCAACTCCCAGAATTCCCCAGCCAGCTTTGCTGGGGAATTCTGGGAGTTGAAGTCCTCCAGGCTTAAAGTGGCCAAGGTTGGAGACCCCTGCTGCACTACATTAGTGATGTCCAAAAAAACCACACACACACACACACAACAGGTTATTCAAATAGTGTTGCCAGCATCTTCTTATGTCCCTCCCTGATATTTGGAATAAGAGGTGGGCAACATGCACAGTCTCCTATTGTTGTGGCACTTTTGAGACTCACACATTTCTACAAGCCTTTGGCGACTACTGTACAGCCCACTTGATGATGATGACTACAATACTGTTTTTAGATTTAATTTTTATTAAAAAAAACACACAGAGCAATAAAACACCCCAAGAGCCTTTGTTTGGCTAAGCCCTCACTCCCACCCCACCTTCTAGGGAAAAGGGCTCTTCCAACTTGACAATAGCTTTAAGACTTGTGGACTTCAACTCCCAGAATTCCTCCTCCAGTCCTATTAGCTCAGGAATTCTGGGAGTTGAAGTCCACAAGTCTTAAAAGTTGTCGAGTTGGAATCCAGACTTCTGCTCTAGGGACACGACAAGCCCTCTGGAATCCTTGACCCCCCACAATTTTGCCTAGTAGTCAATCCGGAACAGAACCGACAACCCATAAAACCAGCCCACCCCCCAGACAATGGACATGGATCTCTCTCGTAAGTTCAAAGTTTAGCCGTTAAACAGCTGTTCTCTCCGGTTCCGGCTTCTCCCATTGAACGATCCATACACGTAGACCCCTATAAATCTAGGTATCGGAGGATGACGGTTCAATATATATATATATTAGTGTGTGAGTCTGGGATTTGTACGCGTCCCCAGCCCACGTATCGCCATCCTTGGACTTATACTAACTTTGCTGTCACTTTGAACGTACACTAGTCGGCATGCGTTAAAACGAAATTTCGCTGCCTGCTGCTCTCAAAGGATCTCCCCCTTCAACATACATCTTCAATGGGGAGGGGGAGTGAGGAGGGGAGGCGGGGGTTCTTTTGGTCGGCGTGAAAAACTCGCAGGGCTTCGCTTGCCCAGTAACGGCCGATGGGGGGCGTCCCACTTGCATCTTCGCTCGCCCCCACCCCACCCGATGCGCGATTCCCACCCGCCCCAGCTCGCGCCCCTCTTTCCCTCGGGCACCCCTCATTTCTCCCACCTCTCGCCGTGGCTCTCCTAAAGGGACCCCTGCTGGCCCCCCTCGCGGGGTCACCCCAGACGCCATCCGGCCACCCCAGAGCCACACTCCGCCCAATTTGCCTTTCCCTTCAGGGTCCCGTCCCCCCCCCTCCTTTTTGTTTTTTTTTACCTTCTTCGGTTCCGAAGCGTTAGTGAGCCGAGACTGCAGCTTTCGGACATCTTCCAGCACCGACCCCGCCATTTTTACTCCTGGCGAGGTCTCCGCTCGGCGGAAGTGGCCGTTGCTTCAACGGCTTCCCAGGAGAACGCGGGGCTTTCCTCCTTCCGAACTCCAGGAGGTTCTCGAATCCCGTTTCGTGGCACCATATTTATTCCGGGCAAAAAAAGGAAGGGGAGGGGAAAGTGGGCGGGTCTGAAAAAGAGACCAATCGGCCGTTCCCTTCGCCAGCCGGTGCCGCCATTTCGTAAGCTGGCAAAGGCTTCACAGTCGAAAAGGCAGGGAAGAAGGAAAAACGCCATCGCGGGTCAGGGCAAACCAGCTGTTAAATGGACAGATGAGCACGTCCCCATCTTAAATAAGGGCAAGAACCTTCCTGCTGCGGCCATTTTGAATATTGGCAAGAGCGTTGCCTGCCACGGTTGGTTCTTTCCTCTCCAGAAAGCGCTTCTGCTTTTTCACCGATTTTTCCAGTATTATTGCAGAAAGAGTTCAAATAAGGCCTTCATTACCAGTATGAAGCTTTTAGCCTTTATGGAGGCTATCATCCATCTGGGCTGGCTCACCATGTTGGATAAATCAAGATAAAGACTTAAGCATGAACAGAGATTAACTGACATTCACACAAAATGCTTTGAATCACATATACTCTTTACCAGAAGCAGAAATTCAGTTTACAGAATTTAAAGAAACCATTACCACTACTTCCTAAAGCATATTTACAAATTAGAGAATTTGAAGCAGTATTGCTCAGTCTCGGCAACTTTTATATGGACAACTCCCAATTGGGGAATTGAAGTCCATTTATCTTAAAAGTTATGAAGATTGAGACTCTCCTTAAAAGAGCAGCTTACACAGAACTGTATTTCATGCAACATATCAGCCAAGTTTGTTGAATAAAGTACTCCTGGCACAATAGCACATAAAACCATGGTTTTCAACCCCAATAGGAGGTTTTATAGTCTATGCTAGAGACCAGCAATTATGACTTATGCACTTTTTAAATCTCCCAATCAAAAGGCAATGTACTGCAGGCTCAGAATAAATTCATACTTTGCACCCAGGTCAGCTGTGGGTTATTTTACTATGTTTTAACAAACAAGCCACAATTGGCTGGTTTGCATGCGTTACATGAGCTAGGCCAGGATGTCACAAGATCCTGTTGCCCAGTATTGTCTCACATAACACACAAAATGGATGCTGAGAATATTATGGAATCCATTTCTGGGGGTAGTGTGTATTTATTGGATTATGTTCATATTTGCTAATTTTTCTATATACTGTAAATCCATTCTGGAGGAGCCCTAAAATCACTCAGGGTTGAGAGGCACACCTGAATAATTGAAAACACTTTGTAGAGGCTCTCCAGAAATTCATGCCATGTGATGGGGAAGAACATCCATTCACAGAATAGCAGCTCTGACTGAGAGAGTACCTTTGTCTCTTCCTATAGAAACAACTAGGGAGGCTAAATAGAAAATATGGGAAGGGCATCCAGTATATTGAGAACAAAGCAAAGATGATGGCTGGGGTCTCAAGTGCCACGTTTGTACTTACAAAAAAACTCCACTCTTTAGATTTTAACTCATTGCTCAGAGAAACATTTGTGCAAAATAGTCTCCCACCAAGCACACAGACACAAGCTTGGAATTTAAGAAAAAAATAGCACAGATGAGCTATTCTCCTCAGACCGGTGTGATGCAAAGTTAATTTAGGGTGTTCACTGCTGCAAGATGTGGTGTGTACCAGAGGTGGCATTCAGCAGGTTCTGACCAGTTCTGGAGAACTGGTAGCAGAAAGTTTGAGTAGTTCGGAGAACCGGCCAATGCCACCTCTGACTGGAGATTTTACAGTATCCTTCCCTTGCCACGCCCACCATGCCACACCCACAGAACTGATAGTAAAAAAAAATTGAATCCCACCACTGGTATGTATCCCTTGATCCAAAACAACAGGGGTCTTTGAGAGTTGGGTGCCAGTTCTGGTCAATAAAAGATCTCCTAGAGCTGAATGTTTTCATGGTCTCTTTTCAGGCTGTGTGAAGAGAAAAGATAGTAATCATCCATAAAAAAAGCATTATTTCAAATGTAGGAAATTGAGGTAGTCCTCAATTTACATGAGTTCATTTAGTGAGCGTTCAAAGTTACAACCGCACTGAAAAAAGTGACTTGTGATTTTTCACATGACAATTGCAGCATCCCCATGGTCACGTTATCAAAATTGAAATGCTTAACAGCTGACTTATATTTATAAGCTGACTTATATTTATATTTATTGACGGCTGCAATGTCCTGGGGTCATGGGATCCCCTTTTGTGACACACTAACAAGCAAAGTCAACCGGGAAGCCAGATTCACTTAAAAACTGTGTTACTAATTTAACATCTGCAGCGATTCACTTAACTGTGGCAAGAGAGGTCGTAAAATGGGGTCAAAGTTCATTGAACAACTGTCTTGCTTAGCAACAGAAATTTTGGGCTCAGTTGTGGTCGTAAGTCAAGGATTACCTGTACGCTGAAGGAACTTGTTAAGAAGTTTTGAGCGTTTAATAACTCTACCTGGCTCTTTCCACTGAACTTGATGCACTTGATGCACTTTTCCCCCTAAGGAATCTAGAAAGAAGACTTCATTCAAAAAAATCACTCCCTAAGCAGCCTAAAACTGACAGTACAAAGCAGCTTTCAGATTCTGCCACTTTGCTTTGTTGCCGCTATAGGACAAAGGCACTAAATCTTTACAACAAGCATACATGCACATCAATTGTGCTACCCTTTTCTAGGTCAACAGCATTCTGCAAAGCACAAAGAAATTAAAGTTGTTTGATACAATACATAGATGTCCATAGATAACTTCTGTTGCGTACTACGGCTTTGATCCAATGTTTTTACATAAGATGTTTAGTCATACAAAAAGGTGTAAAACTGAGTACCAGCTTTTGCTGTACCTATGCCACATGCAGTCTTCCTTGCTGATGGTAAGGATAGTTCTGGACAATGAGCACTTGTCCAATAGGACACAAAGAGAACTTGTGTGTTTTGCCCCATGTGTGCCCAGACACTACAGTATGTGGGGCAAGTTGGGATCTCTGATCGAAAGCCTGTTCTGTAAGCCTATCCCCTCCCCAGAATAATCTTGAAAATACATATACTATACTGATACACTTAGAATGTCCTACAACAACTCTGTAAAGTAGGTCATTATTAATATTACTCATAGTCCTGCAAATGGAAGTCAAAAATGGAGAAAGTCACAGCTGAATGGAGTTGATGGAATCTCAAAAAAAAAAAAAATCAGTTGAAAGAACAAAAACTTTGTGCAGGTGCATAGACATGCATTTATGTAGAGCGGTGTTTCAACAACTTGAAAATAGGTGGACTTCAACTCCCAGAATTCCCCAGTCAGCATAGCCGGCTGGGAAATTCTGGGAGTTGAAGTTCACCCATCTTAACAGCTTGCCTTCAGAAGTTGTGGGAGCTTCATCACTTGAAAGCTTTCAAGAGACCGGACTGCCATCTGTCAGAAATGATGTAGGGTCTCCTGCTTGGGCTCGGGGGGGGGGGGGGGGGGTTGTTGGACTAGATGACCTACAAGATCTCTTCCATCTTCAAGTCGCTGAGGTTGAGAAACTGTTGAAAGAGTCTTTTAGCAAATAAAGAGGGTTGGGGTAAGCGCTAGAAAATTAGCTGGCCTCAGGTTCCTGGAGAGCAGATGCTGGAAATGAGAAAGGAAGCAGTTCCTTCTGCAAAGTTGATCCTCCTTCCCTTCCCTCGGTCAGTCCAGTCTAGAGCAGTTCAGAGCCTTCTGAATTCTGGAAGCTGAAGTGGGACGCTTGGCCCCCCCCCCTCTCTTTCCAAGCCCTGTCAGGCATCTCCCTGCGTCACAAGCATCCAGCCAAGGGAACAGGCGATATGAGAAGGATGGTCAGCTGGCCAGGCTGAATTGGGAAAAAAAGGAGGAGGGGCAGGAGCACTGCCACATTTCAGGGTCTCTGCTGGAGCCAGCAGGGTAGTAGGGTCATCCGGTGTGTGGAGCAGACAGGCATTGGATCCTTTCCCTCTGCTGGGTCGTCCCCCTGTTTCCAGGTAAGTCCAAAAAGACAGCAGTGGTTCTGAGCCCAGCTGGTGAATGAGCCCAGATGCTCTTTTTCCTTGTTCTTTTTTTTTTTGCTGGATGTCGGGAGGGGGTTTCCAGGTCTTTTGAGCCTTTCCTGAGCAGAAAACAGAAGTCATTCTGTGAAAGAGTTCTCCGTTGCGAAGGTCTAAAAAGAGAAAAGTACCTGTCAAAAGTTTAAATGTCATGGCTGAAACCCCAGACTTTTTCTCTGAATGGTGTGTGTATTTATATCTATACATCTTTATCTATATATACATGAATATTTATATACATATACATCATAGACTTTTGAATAGACCATAGAAAAGTCTTTTAAAACTTCCTGTATATTTTGCACAATAGACACACAAGTCACCTCTCCAGAGACAAAAAAAATATTTTGGAGAATCAGGATGATGAGAATGTGGCTTATCCACAAGGGGGCAGAGGGCAAGGAAAATCTAGAAATTGACTCATTGGGGGTTAATTTCTGGTCAATCTCACCAGACTTGAAAATGGCCAAGCTGCTTACAACATATCCTGGATGACAGTATGCAGAACTTGGCCTTATCTAACTCCATCTAACTCCTTGTGAAGCTAAAGTATCACTTAGCAGTTCTTGGTATCCGTTGACGCAGATCACTATGCAAGGAAGGCGTGGGGGTGGATGGAGATCTTGAGTCTGCACTTTAAAAGTTTGGCTTGTAGATTTGACCAAAAAGATTGTCCCTTCCAAAAAAAAAGGGGGGGGGGCACACAATTGTTTAATTTGAGAGATTAAATTTTGTTAATTTTAAAAAAAGGGTGAAGAACAAAAAGAGGCACCAAAGAGTGAAGAATTTACCAAGATACTTACCTACAATGTGACCATAGAAAGCAGCAATTACATGTAATGTAGAATTCTTAAATACTGTTTCATAGTTCCAGAGCATGCGCGGAATAAATGTGG